TCTTTTATATTGAGGATTGGAGGAAACAAAAGATAACGAACAAGGCTATGCTTTAAGCAGAATTATGCTGCGCATAATACATGCAGAAATGTAAGGAGAGAATTTAAACTATAAGAAGTGTTACATTTATTTATGCAATATATGCACGTTTTGGAATAAATGTCAGATTAAATTTTAAAGCCAACATGTTAAAATAAAATATAACCCTTATACTGCACCACAGAGGGGAAACAAGTGCTAAATACTGCACTAAATGCTAAAATACTATTATATACTGATTAGATATGTTTGTACATTAAAAACATCAAAGTGGAAAGTTACATATATTCATATGTTGCTGCTTGAAAAGATAACAGTTAGTAAATAACTGTTAAGTAAGTAACTGCTAAATAATAAGTTATGGAAACAGATTTGACAGATAAATGATGTGGTGATGCTTTAAGATTAAAGATAATACAGCTTTGTATGATCCACAGCTCAAAATAATCCTCATTTACTTTATCAGGGACTCGGTGTTTGAAACAAGCCGTCTCCCTTTAAGGCAGCTTTTATCTGATTGGCTGTCTCCTGCAAACCAGCAGGTGACTGGAGCTTATGTACTCGCAGCACTGCCATGCCCCGAGATGAGCATATTAGGAATATCCACTCTCTATTATGCCCGACAGATCCATTAGGAGAAAAAAAACAAACTCTCAGAGATAAATATTAATATCATTCAAAATTCATAATGAATTTTGGCCATGTTGTATAAGCTGTTCCAGTGAAATTATCTTACAAATCGTAAGTACCAAAAACAGGTAAACATGTTTGTGTTAGGAGGTAAATTGTTCTGAATTAGTTCAGTCGCTGACATCCAAAAGTTTGAATCGGCTGCTGCTGCTGAGACACTCTCACCTTTCAACCTGTGCACTGTGTATTCCTCATAAACCCACATGTACATATAATTTCATGTAGATTAATGGAGAAAGGTCTGACTTACCATATTTATTGAAGAAACTGGCCCAATACTGTTCACGTATATATCAACGTCAATGACAGTTGGTTTAACTGCAGGGGAAACGGAAGGAAAAAGGGGAAAGAAAATCAGTGCTGATTGAGACATTTAACAACCATACCTGCCTCTTTGTAAATCAAAGAGAAGCCGAGCAAAGATGCATTAATGAAAATTTACTGTTCAGAATTATTTAAAGAATGAGCAGCTGCTGAGAGACACAACCCTCTGGAAGTTTTGGTTGTTAAAAATCTTTAATGCAGCAATTATGCTGCGTTTTCACCAACGGGCCACAGACTGCACCACAGTGCAGCGCAGAATTACACTTTAATTTCAGACAAAGACATCACTAATGACAACTCCATGTAGAATATCAGAAGAAAATCAGAAGTAGTCCGCTGGGTCTTGGTCCCACTTTTCCCTGCAGGTTTTCACCCTCGCCAGCTAATCATTAGCTGAATTACACCTGAGACACCAGCTAAATGCAATTAAGTGATAAACCATTGGAGCCTCCATCTCTGACTGGACCAGTGGATGTGGACTGATGTTTTTATATCATCTGAAGGTAGTAAATGATAAAACAAATTAAAAATGCCAAAATCTGACATGAGGTCATCAGCAGGAGAAATCCACACAGGTAGCAAGAAGCTAACAGAGCAGAGCGGTTAGTTTGTAAGCTACTAATCCAATCACAGCATAATATAATTATTTAACCACAGACTTGAGGAGACACATCACACAGTTTTACCTTCACAATAATCCTGCACACGGTTGGTTGCTGTTTATATACCAGTGACCTACTTGAATTGACTCGACACGGTTCACCACAGTTTTTAGGTTTTTCCATTAGGTCATAATACCTGGTGCCAGGTACTTTTTTTTATAGTTCTAAGCGATCTGAACAGGTACTAAAATGTGGCGTTGTCAGACTGCATGCCACCGATTGGCTGGTCAGTAGCATCACTTAATGAGTCATGAGAGTGTCTCCTTCATGAAAATCAAAACCAGCATTTTTGAAACCCGGCAATGGGAAAGATGGCTTCAAAAAATAGTAGGTACTAATGGAAAATAGGCTTAAAAGACTTGGCAGTGATTGTGGTGACCTTAATTCACAGGTAACATAAAATGTTTCTCAACTTAAGGAAATCATTAATATAATATTATATAATATGATTAATATGTCACATGATGAGGGTTATCTATGTAACCACACCATGTCAGTGACTGTGGCCTGCAAAGAGTATACACTATATGTAAACAAAGCTTAAAACGTCCGCCCACTGTGCAAAGAGATGTTGGATTAATGACAGAAATTATTTCAATGTCAAACTTGGGCTAATTTTAGACGGCACTTTTATACTGCTTCTAGGGGCTCTGTAGTCCCATGTTTCCAGAGGGTGGAGGACCTGTTCCCCACCCCCTGGATACATGGGAAACAGTTATGTGTAAAGGAATGCAGAGTGATGGTCCATAATCAGTGGATGGTTGGTGCGGGCTCTTGATGCTAAAACAAAAGTGAGCAGCTGCACGGTGAATTTGGAGCAGAAATGTCCCCGCTTCTCACAGGAAGTTTGCAAAATGGACATATCGACAAAGGCTGTCTAGCAGATTGTGCAAGTGTTTGTGTATGAACTGGACTAACTCTCATACTTTTTGTCGCAACTTCTCTCACTACTGATCACAACCACAATCTTCATTCATTCTTCACAATAAAACAGGATAATTGTAAAAAAAAAATGAACCATATATAATGCTTCTTTTCTTTTAAACTTATTTCAACACATTTTAATAAATTACAGTTTGACCTGGTTAAAAACAAATAAGTTGATTAATTTAAATAAATAAACCACAAAAAACTACCCAGTCCAAAGTTCAAATGTTGAACATCATATTGACCTCCAAGTTGGGTCATGCTTGGACGTCCAATTTGTGGACCTATTTGGACATTGTATAGATGTCCAGAATTGGTCATGGACTGATGAACGCAATGCACGTCTATCCCACGTCCAGTGTTCAGCGGGTGGTGTTTGTTTTTGCGTCTTGTTTTCCAAAATTTACATTCATTCTAATATTTAATTGATCTATGGATCCACCAAGCCACCTAGAAGGGCTCGTATTAAATTATATGTATACAGCAACTGATAACTTACTAAATACATGCTAGGCTTTCAATAAGAGGAGATGGTAATTATAGCTGTAACACACTGAGCCAACAATTTTCCCACCAGGAAGTTGCCTCAGTCTTCATTTTTTTACAACCAGCATCAATATACATCGATACACACATTCCAAACACAACTACTTAAAGGACTTCCTTTCTTCTTTTCTTTAATTAATTTACACCAGCCTGCCTTATTCATGGAGGGACACCCCTGGCTTTCCCCGCCTCTGCTGCTCTCGGTCATTTCATGGACAGGTGTAAAAGTGTCATTTAAACCTCAAGCTTTAACCGCTAAGTGACAGCTGTGACACACTGCTGCCACGAGTGTTCACATTTGCATAGCAAAGAGCTCTTCCATCATTTTACATTACCTGTCTTTAGAGTCTTCATGTCTCAGCCAATTAAATGCACAGCGAGAATTTCTCCACCTGCCAGTCTCCCTTCCAGCATTCGCTTCACATGCTAACAGATGGCACATGAGAGAACATTTCTGGAGAGCTCCCGCTGAGGCGGCTTTTCAAGACCACTATATTCATAATGGCACAACACCTGGTGAGCAAACTGAATTGATCTGAGGTAAAATGTAAAAATATCTGGAATATTTGTCCAAAACCTCATAAATCATAACTTTTTTTAACACCACCACCACATAGGTCAGGCTGCAAATACTTCCACACACTCCTACAGGTGAAGTGTGTGGAAGCTGTCAGATGATAATGTCAGTGACTGCAACAGGATACGTGCTGGCAGCAGAGCGACCGCCCAGGCAACAAAGTAATTGGACACAATTAACCCTGATAGTTGGGCAGCAACACACTCGTGCCGCTCGTTTCCTCACCTGTGCTAATCGCTCCTGAACAGAGCGCATACACGAGAAACACCAGTGAATTTTCTTTTTCAAAACAAAAAACTCACGAGGTCAGTCTTCAAATAAGGAAGAGTCACACTATTTTATAACAGTCAACAGAGATGGAGACAAGGGTCAAACAAGCAGAAAAACAATGACTTAAAGTGACCCCAAAATTTCCTCTTCTTTTGATTGCACATGTGAGTCATAGTACATCTATCATTATATAAAGGTATACTGCTGTGTAACTGTGCTTCTCTTATGCTTAAATGGATCAGCATGAATCACTGACATGAAAAGTTCAACAGGAAGTACTGTGATGTCATACTGTGCAATGAAAAGTATGTGGAGGTCGAGGTTTTCAAAGGGCAAGTGAGCATTTTGATTACAAATTAAACCCTCAAATGTCTCGAGCCATTTAGCAACTAAAATGATTGTTATATTTTATAAAAGAAGATTGGTTCTCTGTTTGTGCTTCTAATATTTGTAATGTATGATATCAGTCCAGTTCTTGTGTAACTTGGCATACCACTGCCTTTTCCCCCTGTTTCCCTAAGAATGACTCGTTGACAGCCGATGTCTTCAGATCAACTGAAGGTCCAAATGCTTCTCTCAGCTCCTGTGTCAGGTCTCTCTCATCTTTCCTATTTCTTAAGGACATGACTTTCAGATATTGTTCATCTGCTGTAGATACTTTTTTAGGCCTGCTACTTCTGCTTTTGTCCTCTACTTGTCCAGTTTCTTTATTTATTTTTAAAGGACACGCTGCACACCATGCTGAGACAGGCCATTTGAGCTAATAGCTCTTTGAGAATCACCTTGTTGGTACAAAAAAAAATCAGTTTTATGCCTGTCGAGCTGTATTATCTTTGGCATTTTTCAATGATTCAGCTAAAGAAATTAGAAAACTATTTTTTGTGACATACTGCTTGTAACAAAGTCCCTAAAGGTACATTTTTAGAATTGGTTCTTACTTGTTTGTTATGTTATGTGGGATTAACAGTGTTTCATTCCTTTTAGGCGCCTTTTTTATGCTTGAATGATTCATAGATCAGTGTAAAATGGGTTAACAAAAATAAAAAAAATAAAAGAAGAAAACATAAAAATCGAGACAATCAGCTACATAATAAAAAGGACACATTATACACAAAAATGAAAAAGAACATGTACCAGAGTTTTTGCAGATTTACAAATACAACCCTCTGAAATGTTTCAGTGAAGGAGATGCAGCTTTATAGTTTTTGTAGCTCAATGCAAGTTTGTTTTAAAAAAGAATCACAGCTGACCTTAAAATTTCCGATCTGTAAGTTCTTTGTTTAAATTCAATCAAGGAGCGGCGGTAAGGAGGCAATCATTGCAGCAGAGCTTTGTAACTGACAGACATGCAATACATACTCTCTTTGATTTGCTGGGGTTCACCATCCTAGCAAATTGAGATCTGTTTCTATAAAAAATATCATATTTTCAGCTTTAATTGTCTTTTAATATGTTTTTTAAAAGTAAGTTGTGAAGTAGAAGTGTATCATCCAGAAGAATATGAACATGAACTACAGGCTGGATAATTGTAGGTGACCTTGTAAATGTCATACTTAGACTTATTTTAAAACTTTGATAAAACTATGTGTGATCAGAGAAAAGCATAAGTCTGTGTGGTTGCAGACCAGGTGCATGTCTTTGGAATAACCATTTCAAAGGCAATGCACACCATCACAATTTTGGTCGTGCCACTATTTTCCCTTGTGTGACTACAATGTGCCAAAATGAGATGCCTAATTATGTAATAATTACCACCAAATTACAACCAAATCAAAGATTCTAGTGTTTAAAAAAAACTTTTCAGGCAATTTTCCATAATCCTGGAAACCATTAGCCAGACTAACAGGCCAATTCCTGCATGAAAAGAAATATATTCACAAATTCATGGCAGGAAATAGTTATGAAATTTAAAATATTCTAATGGCAAATAAAATGACAGGTCATAAATGGGCCTGCTCAGTCATTTGCAAGTTAAGATGATGGTTAGTTTTGATCTTCTACTGTTTTTGTAC